CTATCTAAATACACACCAAGAAATCAAAATAAGGAAACATACAAACAAAAATAGAGATATCAGCCCAGGCCGGACAGATCATTAGGCTGATCTGCCGTGGTATCCCTCATAAATCTTCCCCTTTGTGTTGTACTGCACTCTTGGCCAAGGTATTAAAAAAGTAGAGGCTCTAAGTATAAAGCTCTAGACGTTGAGGCAAAGCTCCTTGGCAAAGAGAACCGTGCGGGATTCGAACCGTTGAACTGATGCTCACTTCTCTTCGACGATAAAGTTGAACACTTAAACGATAGCTCACGGGACACTGGTGTGACAATTTGCTATTACCTGGACACGGGAAACACACTGATTCTAATGCAATTGAGTGCCGCAGTCTTAGCGTATATCGACGCTTCCACCTGGCACACTTTCTCCGAAGTTGCCATTAGAATACCTTCATGTATTGCGTTTGTATACAGTGTCTCGTCGAGGAGCAACAATATCAACATTGAATACCTTAACTAACTTTTGGAAAGACAGTTAAATAAATTTGAGTTTTTATTTCAAACTAGCAATAATGATAAAGCTCCTACCTGTCCTCCCCGCCGAAAAAAGATGCTTAAAGTGGAAAATAATGTTAGAACACATAATAGTGAAATAAACAGTTAACGTTTAGCTAACATTTCTGCGTATAAGTAATAGAACCGAAAAACCAGAGGCATTTAATAACAAAACCATAGATCATGTACCTTACTGATGTCGCATAGCACGTTTTTACCGATGTCTTAAGGGCGAATTTTCCTTATTTCACAGTGACCCTTACCCACTGTCTCCCTCGCGTCCTCCAACCCAATCCCACTTTCGGATTATTTATAGAAGGATATTAACCCAGAGAACGAAGCAAAGGACGAAGAGGATAAACGTACATAAAAAAAGCGAAAGAATAATCACAACCATCTAATAACCCGAAGGAAGAAAAATAAAATAAAACGAAAGAAAAAGAAAGAAAAACAAAAGAAAGCGAGATAATCATAAAGAGAATCGACGAAAGGAAAACAAGGGGGGGGGGGGGCAAGGGAACGTCATAACGGGCCCATAATAACAACTGGGTCAAAGAGCGAACGGTAGCCTCAGCCAGGCCATTAGGCGCTAAGGAGACTCGCTATCTGATCTTATCTCGTGAGGCTCACGGGATGGGCGGGCATGGGGGGGCGGGGGGCGGGGAGGGCGCCCACGCACGTAATGATGCGGCCGTGATGCTGTGCTTGCGCCGGGTGTGTATAAACAAACATACACGAACGTACATATGTGTATATCTGTATCTATAACTCTATCAGTATCTATGTCTATTTATCTTTATTTATTTATATCTATCCCTCTATCTATCTATCTATCTATCTATCTAAATATATGTGTGCGTGTGCCTATGTATGTAAACACACACACACACACACACACACACATAT